CCAGGTTCTGAAAACGCGAGTACCATGGACCTAGTTTTAAAAACTCTCCTCCAGATACTTCTCTTTAACTTCGGTCTCCCCACTTCTTTCACTCTGTGTGACAGTGTTACTAAGAGCATTTTTAAGGCCTGGGAAATAAATTAAGTCCAGACAAGTGTTTCAAGGTCTCTTTAATGCTTGCACAACTGGAAAAGCAAGAAGACATGCCCTTTGAGGCCAGGACCCAGTATGCCTGATTATCTTTGTCTTGCCTTCAGAGTTTAGCACATCCCGCTTTCTAAATGACTGTGAAGGACAGTGACAGAGTCTGGGGCTGCTCCTCTTCTGGCCAATACAGCAGCCAAGAGATGACACAGGCCAGCATGCAGTGTGAAAAGCCGTCACTGAGTTGCATCTCCCACTTGCCTAAGGTAGCAGATGATTGGGTTTTGCATGCCTGGTTTACACTCTTCAAATATTTATAGACAGTTCTCTTTGCCTCCAGCCCTAGTTGTCACTTAGCCAAGTTATACATACATGGTTCTTTTAATCTTTCCTTAGAAATCAATCCCACTAAGCTCTTTCATCATTCTAGTTGCATTTCTCTCAACTTCTGGCAGTTTGTCTTTCTGATGATTTATTTGTGAAAAAGCATGAAAACAATACCGGTGTGAAACATAGAGGGGGTTACCCCCTTTACATTTCCAAATTCAATGCCTTTTATGTGCAAAATAAAATTATTTTTCTTTTTTCTGTTTGTATGAATGTTTTAAAAAATTCATATTTAAGTTGATGTATTAATCTATCGATTGCAAGAGAAAAAGAAAAAAGTATTATTGGTATTATATTGTCTAAGGATGATATTGTCATTGGCTGAACCCTCCCATATATAACTGGTCTAACTTGCAGTATTCAAACATGAGAAATGGGAATCTAGAGTAACATGGTCACTACAGAGAGGCTTAAGTGCCCATCCTAAGGTACTGTCTGTCAGTGAATACTTCTCACTAACTTTAGCTTTTTAGTAATAAATCTTAAAAATAAGTTATTTTTTACCATTATAAAATACATTAAAAATTCAAATAATCAGAAATAGAGAAAATTATCTACATGCTACAACCCAATGTCAACATTTAGCATTTTTAATTAATTTTTAAATTTACAGATAAATTTTATGTTATTTATTATGTATAACATGATGTTTTGAAGTATATAGATCAGCCTACCTTGTTTGATTGTGCTTCATAGATTCTGACCTTTTTTAAAAAACAAATTAAAGATTTGTGGCAAAACTGAGTTGAGCAAGGTCCTACTGGCGTCATTCTGCCAACATCATGAACCTACTTTGTGTTTCTGGGTCATATTTTGATAATTTTCCTAATATTTCAAACTTTTTTCATTACTATTATATCTACTATGGTAATCTGTGGCCTTTGATGTTACTAAGGTAACTGCTGTGGGGCACGACAAATTGTGCCCTTATAGGATAGTCGACTTAATTGCTAAATATTGTGTATGCTGCTCCATAAACCAGCCATTCCTTTGTATCTCTCCACTTTCTTAGGCCTCTCTATTCTCTGAAACATGACAATATTGATATTGAGCCAATTAATAACCTTGTAATGGCCTCCAAGTATTCATGTGAAATGGAGAAGAGTTACACATTTCTCACTTTAAACCAAAAGCTAGAAATGATTAAACTTAGTGAGACAGGCATGCCAAAAGCTGAGATAGGTCAGATGCTGGGTCTCCTGCATCAGTTAGCCAGGTGAACAATGCAAAGGAAAAGTTATTGAAGAAAATTAAAGTGATTAAATTAAAATGCCAGTGAACACACATTAAGAAAGTGAAACAACCTTATTGCTGATATGAAGAATGTTTTACCTGTCTGTATAGAAAATCATACCAGCCATAACATTTCCTAAACCTAAGCCTAATGCAAAGCAAGTCCCTAACTCTATTGTATGAAAGCTGAGAGAGGAAGTTGCAGAAGAAAAGTTGGAAGCTAGCAGAGGTTGGTTCATGAGGTTTAAGGAAAGACGATGCCTCCACAAGACTGCAAGGTGAAGCAGCCAAGCGCTGATGGAGAAGCTGCAGTGAGTTATACTAAAAATCTTGCTAAGACTATTGATCAAAGTGGCTGCACTAAACAACAGATTTTCAATGTAGATGAAACAGCCCTTCATTAGAAGAAGATGCCATCTAGGACTTTCATAGCTAGAGAGAAGAAGTCAATGCCTGGCTTCAAAGCTTCAAAGACCAGGCTGACTCTCATTAGAGGCTAATGCTGATGATGACTTGAAGTTGATGCCAGTGCTCATTTGCCATTTTGAAAATCCTAGGGCCTGCAAGAATAATGCTAAATCCACTCTGCCTGTGCTCAAGAAATAGAGCAACAAAGCCTGGATGACGGCACATCTGTTTACGGCACGGTTTACTGAATATTTTAAGCCCACTGTTAAAGTCTACTGCTCAAAAAAAAAAAAAAAAAAAAAAAAAAAGGTTTTGTAAGGCTATAGCTGCCACAGATAGTGATTCCTCTGATGGATCTGAGCAAAGTAAACTGAAAACCGTCTGAAATGGAATCACCATGCTGGATACCACTAAGAACATTTCTGATTCAGTCGGGAGGTCATACTATCAACATTAACAGAAATTTGGAAGAAGTTGATTCCAACCCTCAGGATGACTCTGAGGGGTTCAAGACATCAGAGGAGAAATTAACTGCAGATGTGGTTAAAACAGCAAGCAACCTATAAGACCTATAATTGGAAGTGGAGCCTGAACATGTGACTGAACTGCTGTAGTCTCGTGATAAAACTTGAATGGATGAGGAGTTGCTTCTTCTGGATGACCAAAGAAAGTGGTGTCTTGAGATGGAATCTACTTGTGGTAAAGATGATGTGAACATTGTTGAAATGACAAAAGCTTTAGAATATTACATAACCTTAGTTGATAAAGTGGCAGCAGAGTTTTAGAGGATTGACTTCAGTCTTTAAAGACATTCTCCTGTGGGTCAAATGCTAGCAAACAGCATTGTATGCTGCAGAAAAATCTTTTGTGAAAGGAAGTCAATTGATGCAGCAGATTTTATCATTGTCTTCTTTTAAGAAATTGCCACAGCCACCTCAACCTTTGGCAACTATGCTGATCAGTCAGCAGCCATCAATATCAAGGCCAGACCTTCCACCAGGAAAAAAATTACAACTCACTGAAGGCTCAGATGATTTTAGAATTTTTTAGCAATAAAGTATTTTATTTATTTTTATTTTTTATTTTTTTGAAACGGAGTTCTGCTCTTGTTGCCCAGGCTGGAGTGCAGTGGCGTGATCTCAGCTCACTGCAACCTCTGCCTCTGGGGTTCAAGTGATTCTCCTGCCTCAGCCTCCCAAGAAGCTGGGATTATATGGCATTCGCCACTACGCCTGGCTAATTTTGCATTTCTAGTAGAGAGAGGGTTTCACCATGTTAGTCAGGCTTGTCTTGAACTCCTGACCTCAGGTGATCCACCTGCCTTGGTCTCCCAAAGTGCTGCGATTACAGATGTGAGCCACTGCACCTGGCCGCAATAAAATATTTTAAATTAAGATATGTACATTTCATCTACATCATGATATTACACACTTAACAGACTACAGCATAGTAAGTTTAACTTTTATATGCACTGGAAAACAAAAACCGTGTGACTTGCTTTATTGAGGTATCACTTTATCATAATGGTCTGGAACTAACCTGCAATATATTTGAGGTATATATTGGCATATTGTAAGTAACTGACAAATGTATTACCTCTATGGTTATCATTTTTGTGGTGAGAACACTTAACATTCCCTCTCTTGGTATTTTTCAAGAATACAATATACTGTTATTAACTATAGCCACCACTTACGTACAACAGATCTCTTGAACTTATTCCTTCTATCTACTTGAAACTTTGTATCTTTTGACCAGTATCACCCCAAAGTCCCCAGTTCTTAGTAACCACCATTCTACTCTATGAGATCAACTTTTTTAGATTTCACATATGAGTGATATCATACAGTATTTGTCCTCTGTGCCTGGCTTATTTCACTTAACATAGTATCGTCCAGGTTCATCCATACTATGGCAAATGGCAGAATTTTTCTTTTTTATGGCTGAATAGTATTCCATTGTGTATATATTCCACATTTTCTTTATCCATTCATCTGTTGATGGACACTTACGTTGATTTCATATATGCTGGCTATTGTGAAGAATGATGCAATAAACATGTGGGAATGCAGCTGTTTGGTATACTGATTTCATTTCCTTTGGATACAAATACACCCAGTAGTAGGATTGCTGGATCATACAGTCATTTTATTTTGAATTCCTTGAGGACCCTCTACACTGTTTTTCATAATGGCTGTACTAACTATTTTTGAAAAATTCCATTTTTTTCTGAAGTATTGTCCCTCTATCCCCAACATACATGATCATACCATCTGCACCAGTGTAACACTCTGCGTTTTCACTTAATGCTGTAATACAAAATTTCCTGTATTGCATGGTCTTTAAACCTTCATTTTTTTTTTTTTGAGTGCCAATCATTCCATAAGTAAGTGGGCATGCCACAAAGAATTGTAATTGTAATAATTTTACCATTTCCTACTGTTTAGACAGTTACATCATTTCCACTTTTTCTCTAGTTTAGACATCACTACGATGAAAATCTTTGTGTGTAAATGTTTTCTGTTTAAGATTATTCCTAGATTTATAGCAGTATAATTAATGTGTCAAAGGACAGGCAGAAAGTAAATTGTGAGATAAAAAATCAGTGCAAGTGTTATGTGAAGTGAAAAATGCCACCTTAAGTAAAAAGATTTGTCTTTGGCTCTATTGCTAATAAGTGAACACTCAAATCTCAGAAGGTTGTAGAAAACTGTCCAAAATGGCGAATTCTAATAAGTGAAATGTTGTACCAACTAGTATTCCACTTCTTTACTCACACAAGCATATTGCTGATCCCTTATTTACTGAACTTAAATTCTTAACCTTACCTAGATCTACCATCAGAAGGCGAGTGAGCGCTGTGTAGAAGGTTGTTCGACACCTGAAGTCACTGAGACTGTAACTCTCACTGATGCCAAGAAAAGGGAAGTGTTCACTCTAATGAAAGCAAAAGAGTAATCAAAGTTACTAATGCTTTACCTAAACTATTTGTAAAATTCTATTCGTTAATTAAAGAAATAAGACTTACTGTGTGGTTTTTTAGCATGAATTTCACAGCATCTATCTTCACAAGTTTTTTTAAAAGGATATAGGTAATAGAGTTAAGGAATCTAAGGAAATATATTTGTCATATCAGTATGTAATAAATCACAAAGTAATAGTGAACTGCAGTGACATCAATTTCTACTTATAAGGAATAAATATAATTTCTAAAGAGCATTCCTATAGAAACGTCTTTCCTTCTGTTAAGAACGATAATCTATTATTAACCAGTGCAATTACTTTTTCTATCTTATACATATTCTAGTTATGGAAAGAAAGAATGAATTTTATAATTAAGACAAGAACTCCTTTACCATTAAAGTCTTGATAGTGGAAAATTAAAACTGACCCCTTTTTATATTTTGGGTATAACTTGCAAACTTCTACTTACTTAATGTTATTTCATAACAAAATAATTAAAAAGACCCATAATAGGCTATCAAAAAAGAGAAAATTACTCAATTCTAAGAAATAGTAAGCTCTGTTAGTAGAAATCTAAGATTGGAATATAATTAGGAGGATATAGCAGACTGCATGTCATCAAGTATAGAAGGACAGCTTAAAGGAACTAGTATTTCTCAAGTGCCTAGCATGTAAAAGGCATTTTCCATATGTTAATTCACCTAATCTTCGCAATTATACTGCTAAGTATTATTTATTATTTTTAGTTCATAAATAATGAAACAGGAGCTAAGAGAAATTAAGTTGCTTGCCCACGATTATACAGCCATGGACTGACAGTGCTGAGATTTGAACTGCAGTTTGACTCCAAAGGCTACGTTCTTTCTACTGTACCACATTATCACCTTCACAGTTCAACTTAGAAGGAGCATGAAGTTCAGAAATCAGAAATATGAATACAAGGCCTAAGTAATTTCAGGTGTGATGTGGATTCTAAACACATCTACTCAGTATGCAAACACCTTCTTCTCTTACTCTACCACAGTCACGTGTTTTCTACCACAGCTAGGGCATCTCTTGGCCATTCCCTAATACCTACTCATGCCTTTCTTGAAGGCTGTAATAATCTCAAATGGCTCTATGCATGTTACAAGGAAAACACTGGCTTTCTTTTTCCTTCACACCATCTCCAAATATATGATTCAGTCTGTTGCCTCTGCACAGGGGCACTGAAAAGCCTAATTCTAAAATTTAATCATTCAGACGTGGGTATCAAAGAGTGGAAAACACACTGGAACATGAGTCATGAGACCTGGGCTTGACTATACCATTCAATGAATCCAGGTAATAAGCTTAGCCTGTCTCAGCCTTAGTTTCCCCTCTCCAACAAATGAGGATGAAACCTATGCCCAAGCTACCTTACAGGACTGTTTTGAGGATCAGATAATGCAAATATCTTTGCCAATTATCAATTGGGGAAAAAGACAGAAAGATGTAGGCAATTTACAGAACGTGTGCAACTTGCAAGGCTAACTTTCACAATTTCATGATAGTATCACTCCTATTTTTCATATAAGAAAATAAACTAAAAAATTAAATTATTTTTCAAAAGATAAACAACTAGCATGATTTATATTCAAGTCCTCTGATTCCAAAGCAACCATTCCAGTTGCATATGAAACATGTATGTTTGGCTTAGTCATATACATACTTATTTAAAATATACATATATATTTTAGCATGTATCAGTATTAGTAAACTTTCTAAGGGCAGGGACTACATTCATGCATTTTCCTTGTTGCACTGCTTTCAGCGGTGCTCAATGCACTGTGTTTTTTTTCTTGAGATGAACTCTCGCTCTGTCGCCCAGGCTAGAGGGCAGTAGCACAATCTCAACATACTGCAATCTCCACCCCCATCCTGGGTTTAAGCAATTTTCTTGCCTCAGCCTCTCGAGTAGCCAGGACTGCAGTCATGGGCCATGAGGACCAGCTACTTTTTTGTATTTTTAGTAGAGATGAAGTTTTACCATGTTAGTCAGGCTGATCTCGAACTCCTGACCTCAAGAGATCCACCATGCCTGGCCATGATGTACTGCGTTTTTCTGGCAGGCTGCAGGGCAACAAGATCAAGGCTGACAGGTAGCAAGTTTTTCCCTGCCTCCAAAGACGCAGATTTGATGATTATTCCCAGCGTCAGTCACTGGGCTGAAGACCTGCCACTCAAACTTCACTCAGTTAAACAGGGGTGGGATCAATAAACTTGGAAATATCTTAAGTAATTACCAAATAGAATTCTCTTAAAATTGCAAAGTTAAAAGTGACAGGGTCTATGGGTAATAAGAATGCTGCCATTAATAGGAATATTCCTGTCAGTGCTGTTAATAAACAGCAAGTCATGTTTTGACAATAGAATATTTATGAAAGCAATAAACAGAACATTCACAGGAAGAATCTCATCTGTCAAAGACACATTTTCTGCAGAACGGCGTCTGTGCACTTTGCACCAAGGCCAGCCTCACTGCCTTTTAATTACATTCTAAAGAAAAAATGATTAAGAATGGATTTTTATATTTTTCAATAAAGAAAAAAATGAGAGTTCACCTGAATATTTATGTTCTCTTATAGAAATTCAATTCAAAGCCAGTTATGGCTCTTAAGAGGGTCTGTAATGTTAAAAAAGGCAAATGAACACATCAACTTTATGATCTTTACACTCTGATCTTATTCTTCTCTAAGAGACTCGGGTTCTTCTGAGTTGTGTCATTTTGGCTGGGTGGGAGCATTAGATAAATTATGGTAACACTAGGTTAGATTTCAGAGGTCTATTCAAAACATCTCTTAGCAGTAAACCTGGTAATGATGGTAACAGTAATAGCAGCAATAGTACTAGGAGTCTTGAGGGTGAGTAAAATTAATAGAGGAAATGTCACATATGGAACATGTAAACAGAAAAGTCAAGACTCAAATGCAGATCTGTCTGGCTCTAAAGCCTAGGCTCTTTTCACTAGGCTATATCAGATCCGCTTGATTTTAAAGGGTAGTTCTCCTCAAAGATCATTTGCTTCTTGAAATACAATTGAAATCGGAATCAGGTCCCAGAAGGGACAGGGAAACATTTTATTTTAGGAAGGACCAATTCATTAATACGCCAGCATCACATCCAGGATTGAGCAGACGCTACAATCTGGCTGGTAGTAACTCACTAAACAAAATTCTTAGAAAATCCCTGTCTCTAGCCATGTGGTTATGAAAACACTGAAGACAGTGAAGACAGTCTTATTGGTAGCTAGCATGACACATGAAGAAAAACAAGGAAAGAATGGTGTAGGTTATAGACAGCTGAAAATTCTGAAAGTCTGTATCCTTTGAAAAGGAGGATAATGAAATGGAGAATAAACTGCTTTCTTAGGTTACAGAAGTACTACACACTTCAGTAGCTGCTCGACACAGTAAAACCAAGTATGACTTCAATTCACAGTATCAGGCCTTTTCTGAGTATTTACTGTATTTCATCAAATCTAAAACACCATTGAATGTAAAACAAAACGAAAAACCCCCACCATTTTACGTACTACTAAGAAAAAGTACTTAAAATACCATCAGTTCTAAGATATATCCTATTTACAAAGGTGTTAAGATATGAAAAAATTTGATTTAGAATTATCGTAGTGTAGTAGATCCATGATATTCACTAGGTACAAGAGAGTGGGTAATCGTACTGGAATCTGGGCAAATATTTAAGAGCCATACATGTTCATCGATACTGTTTGCAGACAGAGTTAGATCGTGATGATAGAATAAAGTTTACAGATGACAATATTATGTATCCGAAATTGCTGTTCTTAGGTTATATGTATAGTAAATGAAATTAAGTATAGTAAATGAAGTATAAATTAAGTATAGTAAATGAAATTACGTTTAGTTATTTCAAAAGCAGAATTTTGTTCATGAACCCTCCTAGGCTAAAAAAAGCCAAATAGCTAAAACCAAGGTGAAGCATCTTAAAGGATACTAATACAGTGATCATTTACAAGGAACAAGACTTAAGGCTTCGTCACTCAACAGAAGGGGTAACAGTAAGTTCTAAATGCCCATTGTGTGAAGTTTTGAAATTATAAAAGAATGGAAAAAATGTCTTTGGCCAAGACTGAAAACCTGAAGAAACCTAGTTGAGTTACAAGGTGTCAACTGCGGGAGAGTGGCATATGTGGTGATTCCCTGAAAGTTAACGAAGGGTGGCCAGGGGTAAGTAAAAGAAGTTTCCTTGGCCCAAGTATAAAGTGCAAATTGTGGTCGAATGGAAGACCAGGAAATTAGCTATGGGAACTCAGTCAGTCAAGTACCGTCAAAGGATTCAAATTCAAGTCAATAATTTTGCTGGACCTAAGAAGCAAGTGGAAGTGATTGTGGACTTTCGGGAAGAGAAATGATCAGATCAAAACAATACTCAAGGCAGGTAATTTTGTGAAACAAAAATCTAAAGAACTTGGTGACAGTCTAAATAAAGGGGCTACAGAACAGGAATACGGAGGATTCTATACCTGGTTCTAGTATACAAAGAAGCAGAGGAGATAAATTATGGAATGACTTTTCCATGGCTCATAGAGACAGAAAACAATGAAATAAATCAACATTTCTTTCTACAAAAAATGTTAATAGAAGTATGCCTGAGGGAGGGAAGCTGAAACTAGTTTTATTTAACATTTTCACAAACCATCTGGAGATGGTGGTATTCAGCAAAATAAAGCAATGCGTTTTAATATTGTTTCACAAAAACAGAAATATTACTGTTTATTGCTAAATAGTTCCTGTAACAGACATAAACTATTTTACTTTCATCCTTCACCCTTGTTTCATTCCTGCCCTTTGCCTTCTTGCTCATCCTCTACCCTTTCCTGACACCTACCACATTCAGGATTTGTACCCCAATGGTGAGAAGGTCAGAAACAGAGATGAGGATGTCTGGTTTACACATTACTTGGTACGTTTAAAAGTTGCATACTTAATGGTTTATCTATAAGCTTATGTCTAAATGACCTTGAGTAAAAGGGGCTCCCTAAAATTAGCCATATCATGATATCACATGCCCACATTATTCTTAATATATAGATTTTCAGAAAATCAGTATGTAATTTATTTGAGTTAAATTTAAGCAGAAAAAAAGAAACTATATTAATAAAATAATTGACTTTAAGCTCTTTGGAGAAATATAGAAAAGGAAGTTTGGAATCCATGTCAATTCTGTTAGAATTTAAAATCCATGAGGGCAGTGTCTGTGTTTTATTTGTCCTTTTGCCCTGTAATTAGCAAATGCTTAATAAATATTTGCTGCATTGAAAGAGGCCAATAAGATTCAAGATGAGTAAGGAATTAAATTTAAAAATCACTATTTTATTCTTACTAAATGTTAACTCTAGATAAGGGTGAAGTTCTGATTATTATACTTAAAAAAGCAAGCAAAAAAAGACACATGAAGCTGGGAAAGGTTTGGGGTTGAAAAATAAAATTATCATGGTCATCAAATAACTTTGATAGAAAATAGATTCTTAGGGGCTCGGTATGGTGGCTCACGCCTGTAATCTCAGCACTTTGGAAGCCCAAGGCAGGCAGATCACAACGTCAGGAGTTTGAGAACAGCCTGAACAACATGGTGAAACCCTGTCTCTACTAAAAATACAAAAATTAGCTGGGTGTGGTGGCGGGCACCTGTAATCACAGCTACTCAGGAGGCTGAGGCAGGAGAATTGCCTGAACCCAGGAGGCGGAGGTGGCAGTGAGCTGACGTCATGCCATTGCATTCCAGCCTGGCAACAGAACAAGACTTTGTCTCAAGGAAAAAAAAAAAAAAAAAAAAAAAAAAAAAAAAATAAAATAAAATAAAATAAAATAGATTCTTTGGCCTGCAAAAATGAAAATGACTAGAAAATAGATTCTCTGGCTTGCAAAAACAAAAATGACTGAAATAAATTAGTAGATAGATTTATGATGCATATGGATGAGTCTTATATTCATCAAATTCTGGTATACAAGAACTTAAAGGGATAACCTTAGAGAGTCAGTCCGAAGTCAAATGGAAGGAATTATTTCTTTGTATCACACAAAACCAGAGCCAGCTCCACAGCCATGTGGGCTGTACACTTGCATAGGAGGTCCTGTGCTTGGGAAAGTCTCTTCATGGTTTAATGCTCTGCTGTTAAAGTCTTGAAATTTTTAATAATTTTTGAATCAGTGACCCCACATTCTTCTTTATGAGGTGGGCCCTGCAAATTATGTAGGTAGTCTTGCAATAACATGCAGAAGTCGTTAATCTTGAGAACTGTTGAGGTTAACAGTATCAATAAGGTTAAAAAAAAAAAAGTTTTGATAAATTCATAAACTAACGGGGAACACTCTTATAGAGTCTGATTTTAAAAAGCTAGATATTTTTACTTTTCTCGAATGTTCGATGATTATGTAATAAAGGCCAGCTACCAACAGAGGGCCTGATAGAGAATGAAATTTCCTTTCTGAAACCCAAGGGGAACATGTTAACTGCTACAAATCTGAGTAAACAATGAATTGCAGTAGAAATACTGATAAATTATCTTTCAAAAGAATAAAAACTTGAAATAATGATTAACGAACAAACAGCATTTTGAAAAAATTCTTTTTCAGCATTTAAAATAAGTAGGCTTATGTGATTGCTCTGTATGACCCTTATTGTCTCTCCAGTTTTCCCAGGAGCTTCCTTGTTCCAATTATTTGAACAATCTCACCCCTTTTCCATTTAGACAGAAACTAAAATTTCTGATCAGAAAACATTTCAAAGAGGGGAAAAGATCCCCAAGTACTGAACTTGACTATAGAGGCCTGGCCCTGTATAGAGCCACTTCAGCTCTGTGCCTGTTCAAAAAAGCTATTTAGAATCAGAAATTCTTGGAATTTAGTCTTGAAAATATAGAGTATGTTAAACGGTTACTCAAATGCATTTGCTAAATTTATTATAAATACCTATGTAATGAATCTGACAGGAAAACATAAACTTTCTGTCAAAAAGGTCACTGGATTTTAAAATAACAATAATCTTACCAATTTGAAAAATGTCAAATTTGGTAAATAGCAATTCTGTGGTAAAATGCAGCAGGCCATCCAGTTACAATGTGGAGACTTATGTAATGGCAACCTCCCACACGCCCCATAGCATTATTCAGTAACTAGCCTATCTCTAACAATGCAAGTCTAGTGAGTCTTAAGAAGTCCTATGAAGAAGTGTCTGTGAGCCATGTACCAGACTTTTCTGCTCAGGGCATACAGTGCAGGTCTACTTTCCAACTACCTAAAGGCAGAAGTTCTCAAAGTACAGTCCTAGAGCTACCAACTTTACCTGAGGCTTGTGAAAACTGCAATTCTCATACCTAGGTCTAACAACCCTTGAAATAGAAACTCTGGGGAGTGGGGCCTAACAATTTGTGTTTTAACAAGCACTCACATTCTGATGCTCACTAATGTCTAAGACTACTGCTTTAAGGCAATCGAAGGCTTTTTAATACTTCCTAAAAATGGGAGTCTTCTATGATTTCAATTTGCAACAAGTGGTCAGATAAAAAAAAACATCAAAGTTCAGAGACTGGCTTTGAGCACCATAAACACTGAGTAAGGTTCATCCGAAGCAGATTAAATAGAAAAAAATAAAACAAAAAGTATCTGAAGACATGCAGTATAAATAAAGAACATTAAAAAAAAACCTCATAGTGAGATAATATGCTTTTCATTTATTTCTGAGATTTTAAATAAAAATATTTTGAATATTAATACCTAAACAGTTTCCATTCACATGCATAAGTGTTTCTATTGCTGAAGAATGTCATCTTATTCCTAATATAGAAATAATATATTGCTTTAAAATCAAGATTGAAAAACACATTATCATAAAGAAATCGATTTGAAACAACAAAACATGCATTAGGTAACCAGTAACTGCACTAAAACAGATACACCACTCACATATTCCATTATGTAAATGAATTCAAGATATTTCATGACTGATCAGCTAGAAGGGACATAATGATTTATAATTCAAATAACTGAGCACTGAAATCAAATTGAACTAATATATATTTCTAAATATGCAAACTTGAAATAATTGCTAAAAAATATAAATCAATGTACCCATGTTGAAATCATTCCCATCCCCTGGTTTAAAATATTATAGCTTTTAAACTTTTATCTAGTAAATTTTCTGAAAATATGATTTTTTTTATTCACTTCAAGAAGAACTCAAAAGCAATAAACACCATGTAAAATAAAAGGCTATAATATTTGAATTAAAGAATATATAACAGGTTTAATATGATAGGAAAAAGATCTTAAATAGCAGATACAAAATAAATTAGGTATTATGCAAATTACACTACAATAATACAAATCAAATTAATTTTGTACTAAATATCAATTTAAACCTAAAAAATGGGGTAAATCTAAACAATAGATATACGCTACAAAATAACTGAGGCTTCTTTGCAGATAATATGCTCTCAAAGTAATTCATTGTGAAAAGGCCAGAGTTTGCAATACTAGGAAGTACTTATAAACCACTTCATATGTTGGAAATAAAGAGTATTTCAGCATTATTATTAGAAAAAAATATGGGTTGAGTTTTTTTTTAATAAGAAAAAATACGTATCTTAAAAAGCCAAATGACCATTGGAATTGGGTTGTACATCACTTTCCAGTAAAAAGGAAAAACAGCCTGGACAGGTGTAATTTATCATTTTTCTGATTTAATATCAAAGAAATATATTAAAATAATAAAAAGAATCCTGAAATCCTCAAAATTTGTAGTGATAAATAGCCCTCCCTGTCTTTATTGCATTATACCTACTAACAGAAATATTGCATGGTGGATTTTGCCAGACAAGGACGATTATTTTCCAATAAAAAGTTGCATATTAAATTCCAGCACAAAAGTGGGTGTCTAATACTTTGGAAATCTTTTATGGTTTACCAAGGAATACAATTTTAAACTTAACTAACATAAACATATTCCTGGAATGAACCTACATTAAAGGTTTCCATCCAATGCCACCATTTTCAGAATTTGTCCTCATGTTAAAAGATCAACTAATCTTAGTGATTAACTAATTCAACACTTATCTTTCCCAAGTCCTATATACTTGATAGCTAATGTAGAAAAGAAAATCTACATGATTCTCTCTAGTTGTTAGAGATATGACAATACTGTCAACTATAATTTCATAAGAAAGGATGATTCTTGGTTTTAGAAGTTTAAAAATCTACTAGACAGAGAAATCTAAACATTTAATGTATAATGGGAAATCTTATTTTAGATTTGATTAGATGTTGATTTGGTAGGGCCAATAATCAAAGAAGTGGTCAAAAAGCTTATCATTTTCTTAGTATTACTCCATTGTGCCTTTCAACTAATGAAAATGATGCTCTCTTCAACTGAAGAATATTAGAGATATATTTACTTACAGGAATTCAGTTTTTATAAGGTATTATTTTTATAACATTTTGAACTCCTTATAATTAAGTTACATGCTTTCTTTGAGAACAAGAATTTCTGACAATTACAAACAAGAATAAACTTAAATACATGTGGTTGCATACTTTCTTACATAACCATTTATTTGCCTCAGTGAGTATAAATGTAACTACTTAGAAATCTATATGTCCATATAAATTCAACTGGGATTCTGACTAAATGCTTCATAGTATATAACTAAACCCTTTCAAAAACATGCATTTACAGATAAGGCTAAATAAAAAGCCTTTTTATTAAAAAAATTCAAAAATTATAAACAAGGAAAATGCCTGGCTAATTAAATGCACTTCGTAGGTTGTTTATACATAATGTCAGATGGACAGTGAAAAGGATATCCAACAGAAAGGTCATTTAGGAACTGAAGAGTCCTTGAAATTACAGGCTCACATCTTCCCCAGTATTTAAGGTTTGTAACACTAAATATGAAAGAAAGTCTTTAATTATAAGTAAGATATTTGCTTGTCTAGGGAGAACCAGAGAATACACATACATTTAGGCAAGTTTGATTACCTAAGTCATAAGTATTTTGAAAGTGAAAAACAGGCTCAAAAACATTTGCTATTCTTTTATAGCATATTCAAAACTATATACAATCTACAATGAATATTGCTCTCCAAATGGTATATGATTCTATATATTTAGTTTTGTAAATTAAAAAGTTGTCTAAGTGTTTCACAGGAAAACATCAAGTTTGTACTCAAAACATATTAGGGAGGAAAAGCAGGAGTAACAAAGAAAGCCAAATAGAGGCTCACTGCTACCGCCAAATAATGAACCACCAATTTGTGGCTCCAAAACTCACTTCCTATGACCATAATTGTTTATCTAGCTTTGTTCTCTGCAATCAAGACAGTGTTTTTTGTCTGTTATATAGATAAAGTGGGGTGCCAGGTGGAGGCATACAAGTCTGGCTAAGTGTTCAACCTTACGTCCATGACTAGAAACTATTTTATTCTGCTCATATGATAAGTCCAATATAAGGCCAGTTTCCATGAACATGCTGCTAGCCATAGGTTCCTTTTAGAACTAATGCATGTCCTATCAGACCTCTTTCAATGATTTCAATTTGCAATAATCTCTTCACGTGGTCTTTGAAATTGGGTGTTTTCCTTCTTAAAGTTAAAAAAAAAATGCTGCCCAATTGATCTGAAGAGTGAATGTCTGTAAATCTATGAAAGTCATCATCGGATGCTGCACACTGCAATTGTATGGAAACCTGACAAATTACAATGTCCTTTGGATGATGAGTTTTCAATATGTGAAATTAAGTTTCAATGAAGAACAATGCTAACATTCTAACAACTAAAGCATAATTTAAAAAGTCTTTTATTTAAAAAATTAGTATATATATAGTAGTATTAGTATATACATAAAATTAGTATATATGTAGTATATAAAATATAGTATATATATAAAGTATAATAAATAACATAAATATAGTATATATATATATATAAAGACTTAAACACAATAAAAAGATCTATTACATTTAAAACAACAACAACAGAAAAATTAAAGACCAGAACAAGAACTCACATTTTTGTCATGAATGTTTCTAGAACGTGGCTGTCATCTGTTATCCCTAAGACTTCCGACATACGAGCATATACCTGCATTAAAACATTTCATTGTTAAGAGCTTTATTATTAATGTATATTTTCAAAAGACTATTCAAACTGAACAAACATAAGATTTAATGCACTGTTGTATCCACACTGAAGTAGGGAGTGGGTGGGAGAGCAAATGAATTTTTTTCAAAGAATCTTATACTTTTAAAATTTGCTTTTTCCTACAGACCTCTCCTGTTTTGAAATATATAAACATTTATACACAAACACACTCATATATCCATTTTACTCCCACCACACCACACACATTTTTTTTTTCCCTCAAAGTGGTAGACCACCCCTTTCTTGAAGATGGGAGTAGGTATCAAAAGGGCTGGAAAGTACAGTACTTCAACAAAAGGCTTCTAACGCTTAAAAATTTTCCATCTATTCTAGATTTCGGCAAACTATTAACCATTTCAGGATTATTTAAGGCAGTTATAAGAATAAGGATTTAAAAACCAAAGGAAGTTAAAGAGCTTATAGAAATTCTCCTCAAATATTACCTAATTAAGCTTCCCCAAATATAGAGGTGGGTCTTACTTTTCAAGCTGACACTGAAATCCCAAGCTCAGGGATTCTCTGTTGAAAACATCAGGGCCTGGGAATCCACTAAGCTTCCAGTTAGGGAGTGCTGGTTGCAGAGTTTGGGGTGCAATATTTCAGTCTCAATCCAAGCCACATTGAGCTTATAAATACATATCCCACTTCAAGTGGAAAAATGCCACTAGCAACCAATGGAATACCTCCCTTTCAGCCTGGCAAAGCTGAGAGGTGGGTTGACACCTCGGTACTCCCTGATGCTCTGGTGTGATTCCAGGTTAACCCTGCCAGACACCAGCTGTATGGGATTTCTCTTCTGTGATTTGATCCTCTGTGAGTGTGTTCTCTCCCTTTCTCCTAAGCTGCCTATTTCCTACGTACAGCAGCATAGCTACTACTCCCTCTTTTTTTTTTATTTTTTTTTTTATTTTAATATCTGAACACCAGCTTGATATACCACCATAGGTCATAAGGTAAGATAAAAATCACAGCGGCAACATAAATCACCCAGAGTTATAGGGTCATAGAGGGGAGGATAGCTGCCATTGTAGAAGTTTCTTATCTGAATTTTAAACACCGTTTGAACCAGCAGGTTGTGTTCCAGGATTTCGACCTGAGTCCTGTGTCTGGAGGTCAGACATAGCCTGTCTCTCAGGCTGACAGAGTGAATGACAGGGATAGAAAAGAGGGAGAGAAGGAGGAGTTGGGTGTAGAGGGTGAGAGAAGGAAGGAATGGCTGACTGGTGGAGAGGAGAAGCTGGGGAAGAGAGAGAGAGAGAGAGAGAGACAGGAAGATTGAGATTCAAATCCCTGCTGCCTTTCCCACTGACTTCTGAGTCCTACAGAAAAGCATTTCAATGATTATATATACGTGACTTTGTCCATGAGAGTCGGACTTCATCTCTTGTAAGATTAGAGTGACCACTGCTGCTTGTAAGATGTCTGGGGGAAAGAGGGAGCTACGGAGAGAGAACCTAGAGAAGTTAGTTACCAATAACCCTCAATAATTACAAACTTTTAAGCACAAAGAGGTCTCATAAGAAGCATGATATGTAGAATGGAAAGTTTCCCTAAGCTCACCATGATGCAAAACCGCTCTCATGTATAGAAGTATACAAATTGGGTCCCTTGGAAAATCTGGTATCAGCATGATTCACACAAAGCATTTCACAACTTGGCTTCAACCTACCTCATCTTCCACATTTCTCTCAACCTCAAGTCACATATAAAATGCCGATAGATCACTGAGACATCTCATGCAATTTCACATTTTTACATGTTCATGTGCTGGTCATTTTGCCTCAATCAGCCTTCTTCGTCTTTTTCTCTTCATAGTCATTCAAAAGTCATCGCCTCTGAAGCCTTAGGCACAGTGAGTTGCACTCTCCTTTATGTTCCCAAACATCTGATCCATTCCTCTGTCATGCTGTTTTTTACACTGTAACTGGATGTCAATCTCCCTCACTACGCTGAGTGCTTCTTGAGGGGTGACACTATGCCTTATTCTTTGTGTCCCTAATATTACACCTCAGGCAATATTTGTCAAGTGAATACTATTTTTAATGTGTGGTGGCAGAAGAAGACAGGGTGTGGATCCACTAGGACTATATTATAATGTGAATATTACACAAAGAATGAAAAATGGCTCTTCATATTAAGCATATATTGGATTCTATGGACAAAATACATAGAATCATAAATTACAACAGAAAAAGAAAAGCTAGAGAGAGCAGCTTGACTATCTAGTAATTGATTCTAGCAGTTGTCTTTAATTTTATTTTAGTGACACCCTTGTCAAAAGCGATCCTTAAAATAAGCCCAGTTTTATAAAATCAACTAACAGTAGGGGTCAGATGCCCTATTGTGTGCCCTGATTTGCCCCCTTGCTTGGTTTCAGGGCCACAAACTGTGGGCCCTTAACTGTGACTAGAATTTAAAAGGCACTTTCGTTTAACAAAGATGAAAGCATGAATGGGTATGTTCAAACTAGCTCTACTACAACTCAACGCACAACTTTTTTGATGGTATACAGGGTAATTTATACAGATAAATGAAAATGAATAATAAATTCTATGACATATTGGTTTTGGAAAGGATGGGGCCGTGGCATTATCTCAAATCACCTGTTTTCTTCTTACTGTATTTACATGTTTCCTGGTTACTTTTCTTGTTTTGGACAACATGATAACTACAGTGGACTTTTGTAAAATCAAATTTTACATTTTCAAGACTTCATAAATGCCAATTTTTATGGCAAAACTCAGAAATAATATAATTTTTGTTTTAATCATTTTATTATTCATTTGAGAGTGAATAATAAAAATATAAAAACTAAAATGTGACTATAAACATTTCAAAAGTTTTAATATTAAAAAATGTACTTGCTAATTCAATGGGTCCTACAAGGAAGTTTTCCTAATGTGTTCCTGGCATTCAAGAGAGGAGGAAGCTAGGCAGGCAGGTCTGTTGTGCTCTGCTGTCAAAACAGTTTCTCAAAGCATCAGATCTGACCAATAATATACTAGGAAAACAGTCAACATTGACACATGGCAGTGCTTTAATCCACAATTATCCTTGTAAGTTGCACCATTCCTTTTATCATCCATTAGCTTTGATTCCCATTATCCCATCTAGAACTGTGTCAACGCTTTTGTCCTTGGGGATTTCTCTCCACTACCAGGATCTGACAGTCAAGCTTGAGTACTAAACAGGATCATTACCTCTTAAATCCACTTATCTGATCTACTGAATAGTAAATTGAAAAGCTCATTAAGAGCAACAATCTGATTTGTTTTCACGTGTGACAGGGTCATTTAAAATCAATGTATGATTACAGTGTTTCTTTTAAAAGACTGTTTCTCATTTTCCAAGGTACCTTACCATTCAGATAACATGCAGATAACATGAAAATGTCTCCAAACATTTGAAATTTAATTATCCCATAAACATGGATAATTTGGGAGTGGGAAGTAATTTGTTCAGTGAGGAAATACCTACAAAATTGTTTATCATCAAGCACAAGTCAATGAAAATCTTCTATAGAAAAATGCCCTAACACAGTATTTAGAGTTTTCAACACTTTCTACAACTTTTACCATTTCACCTGAAATAATTTTTGTGATACCAAGAAGAAACTGTATTGCAATATCTATTTTAAGGAGGTATATAGGAGTTGGCATAGGAATGCAAGAAAAGAAAAAAGCTCACTTTCAGTACACAGATTCCTTGTCTCTTATTTCAGAATCTAGTAAGATAATCTCATCACAATAAAAAAGGAGTAAAAATCTAAGAAATAACAGACTGAATCTATCTGTGTGGTCATCCTTCAGAGAAGGATGGGCAATAGAGTGACACTGAATATATGGTCATGCCTTTGGTTATGTGTTTCATATAGTCAGAGATGGACGTGCTGTCACCAAGTTTTTGCCTTTCTGAGCCCTCCTCCCTTCCTTTCTTCTTCTGCATTTCAAAATATGCCTGTATAATATAGACTGTAAGCTCCCTGAGAGCAGAAATGATGCTGGTTTTTTTTTTTTTTTAAATCTCACATCCTTCTACTCAATAACGTTTTTTTAAATGAATAAAAAGAATACAGTGTTAAAATGTATATTTTGGTCAATCCCATTTCATACATGATTCTTTAACAAAAGAAAAACAACCCATAAAAAGCAGGTATTTTTCCCCCTGTAAAATAATATACCCCAAATCCTACTCATCAGGGATGAACATTGGTAAAATGCTGTCATTTTAAAAGGTGTGGTTTTAATGCTTAAATAGTATTTCTGGGAGAAGCTCTCCCTGTAGATTCAATAAGAAGAGTCGCCTAGGGGTCAGGCGCAGTGGCTCATGCCTGTGAGCACTTTGGGAGGCTGAAGCAGGCAGATCATGAGGTAAGGAGAACAAGACTGTCCTGGTCAACATGGCGAAATCCTGTCTCTACTAAAAATACAAAAAATTAGCCAGCCTGCTGGTGTGCACCTGCAGTCCCAGCTACTCAGGAGGCTTAGGCAGGAGAATCGCTTGAACCTGGGAGGTGGAGGCTACAGTGAGCCGAGATCGTGCCACTGTACTCCAGCCTGGGTGATAAAGCGACACTCTGTCTCAAAAAAAAAAAAAAATTAAAAAATAAAAATAAAAAAGAAGAAGAGTCCCCTAATTTGAAACCTAGGGCATTCATTGTTGCCAGTCTATTACTAGCAATTCTCGAAACAAAATAGACTATAATATTTTTGTAGTATTGATTTCCATGTGAATATGTTTCCTTCACTATTTTAAGCATGTACTTCTGGAAGGCAGGGGAAATGTCTATTTCTCTTTACATCTCCACTAGTACACTGTCTTAGAACACTGTCGTGATAAACGTTGCAAGTGGAAAAAGCACAGACTTTGGTCCCAAAGATATCTGCATTCCAATTCTGTATCTGCCACTAACTAGGTGTTTCTTAAAGTCTCTGAATCTT